TTGATGTCGGCCACCGGAGTTCGGTACAAACAAAAAATCACAGGGTGTGATATCCGGTGATCTGGCCGGCCAAGAGATGGGACCAGCAGGGCCAATCCATCCATCGTGTCGATTTACGTAGACTGCGGACAAAGATCCTTTCGACATTCTCATCAAGTGCACACGGACGATGTATGTCTATCTTGCTTGTGCAGAACATTTCCTGTATCCTTAAAACTGTCTGTACCAGCCAGGTATCGATGGCCTTGATGGTGGAGTCTTCTGTTATGCTGTTCTCAAATATCTTTTGACCTGTGTATTCGATTTCGTTTCGACAAACCACTTCACGCATTGTGCCTTATCCTGCGGTTTCATGGCGACTAACCTGATTCACAAAGATGGATACAGCGGAGTAGAATATAACGGGTGCTACCATCTACCGGGATTTCGGCGAAACTTCGAGAGTTTCTCTCGCAGATGACGCTCAAACAGTATTTGTGTCTTTCCATAAAGGTTTTATTCACGAATAATTTATATACACCCTGTGGAATATAGCAGTGTGGCCCGACACCACTTATAACCAAGCCCGCAAAATGATCTATAATTTTGTCACCTGTTCGTATAAGCTCATTAATTTTGTTTACTCTCCACTGGGAGATAAAAGTGATTACATAATTTTAGTCGTAAGACTTAAAGTGACTTCTGAGACCTAGAAAATCAATATTTATGTGAGAATACGGTGTGGGCGAGCGTGTACCTCCAAGAAACAGACCACATCAGTACGTAGAATAATATTAAAAATTAACTGAGAAATAGGATTGTGAGATTGTGGATTGGATTCAACTGGCGCAGGACTGGATCCAGTATCGGGTTTCTGTAAACACAGTAAGAAGTCTTCGTGCTTTTCTTGACAACCTAAGCCACTATCAACTTTTCAAGTATCGTGAACCATGTCGGTACCCAGACGACATTTTAACGTCTTTAACACTTTGTAGCTAAACATTGAATTCCTACAGCAAAGACAACTCGACGTGGCTCCGCTACAAAGATCAAGTTGTTAATATTGCGTGGGGGGAAAAATCACTGTTTACTTTCAAAATCAATTTCAACACATAATTACACTTCGCTGAGTCACTTAATCTTACAGCACGTGCTTCATGTAGTTAGCACTGAGCTTTAAAGAGTCCACAAATACAACAAAAACTGTGCTAAAAGTACAAATTGACTGCAAAACAGACAGAGAATTGTTTTTCGTATCCACTATACACCATTCAGCATGGTGTGCATTGGTGGTTAGCAGGATTCACGACCAATCAGTACATGGGTTCGACCGGGACCCCCTTTTTGCGAGATGATGATGAAAGTTGAGTAATTGGGATGCCACGGAGAAACCGGAGGAAAACTCCGTGATGCCTAGACAACGGCCTTGCCCAACACAAGTTATAAATTCGGGCACCGCCGGGAATAGAACCCGGGACCCCAGTATTACAATCCCAGCGTTCTAACCGCTAGACCACCGTGGCGGCTACAGAGAAAATACACACATTGAAACATATACGTGCTGTTCTAGACAGCGAGAAAGTGTAGCTGGTGGCATTCATCGCGTTATGCATCCAAAATTGTCATAAACGAGGCTCTGGCGACTGAACCACGGCTGCACAACAGTTACATCTAATGCGAAGGAAAATCTACCACCAAATTTATGTTCGCTTAGCCTATGTTTGGCTTTCCAGTGCTTCGTTTGGTGTTAACAGAAGCAGCTGTGGCCACTACAGACTCTTTATAACAGCATTTACCAACCGGTGGTACAGGGACCACAAATTCTAGCCATTTCTTCTTTTTACCAGATTAAAACTTATCATATTACAAGTATCTTTAAAACAAACAGCGTGCTTTCATGCAGAAAACCACTGAATCCGCTGTAATCTTGTCAGTTTCTGAGACTGAAATAGTTGATCTCTGAGATCGACTCCTCGAAAAGCAGAGTTTAGCTGAAGTTGTTATCGATATAAACGGATCGATTTATAGGACGTTCCCCGGGGCGACGCAAAAAGTAGACCGCGTCAATAACTTTTACCTGTCATCTTCAGTAATAATGCTCACATGGTATCTAGTTACCTCGTTCGGACACGAACGAGGGTACTGAAGATTGTCGGATTCTACTGTGAAATAGGTCATGACTACGACATGAACTTCGCTCTCTGCTAAGCCACTTCGTTGTAATAAGTCCACAGAGCGAAGTCTTTCTTGAGAAAGTTTCATAAGGTTCCTACCCTGAGCGAGTTAAATCCAGTGCATACTCAAGCCACGTTTATTTTAAGCAAATTTTTAATATTATCCTCACACTTGCGTCTCCCTAATGGTCATTACATTTTAGATTTTCCGACTAAAATGTACGTAATATGTGATTATGGAGTTTATCATTAGGCAGGTTTCTTCACTCTACCTCATAAGCTTAAATGTTCTCGTAAGCACATTTGTGCCCACACGTACTTTGTTTGCTCAAAATATAATTTGGTCCTTGAGCGCAGGTCTGGTGGTGTCACCTTGCAGTGACGCCACGACCAAGGCCCCATCCACAATGCACGCTTTGTCAGCATCCGCCATGAAATCGCTTAGCTCTCCGCTTTTGTTTCAGTTTTATAAGCCGTGTTTCCACTGCTTGGAAAAGCAACACAAACCAATACAGCCGGGGTTCGAATCGGGTATTCCTTAATACAGACCTGCTACGGTGTAGTAATTATCAATCGGAAGTTCTCGGTTCGGTACTACGCCCGAGAAAAGTTGTTCTTTTTAAAATACTGCATGATTTTTCTGGGTATCTCCAGATAAAGGAATCGTAGCTTAAATATGTGACATCACTATTTCTGTTATTCAATGACGCTGATTCAACTACACAAGTTATAAAATTAGGTTGAAAGATATATGGCAGATACTAGGGATTTAGAAGGAGACGGTTGTGGGATATTTCAAGGTACCTACTGACAAAAAAAAAACACGTAATCTGTCAGGATATCCGGTAACCCTGTCCGTATTCAGAGCTCGTATACGTTACCGTTAACACCAACCTGATAAATAACTTAACCCTTTGAATTCAGTCCGTACCGCGAAGAAAACACTACATCTCACCATTACGAAAATCAGCTGGTTAACCCTTTGAAGCCGAAGCTCGTCTTCATAATATTTACGAATCCAGACCGTACCGCGAAGAAAACACTTCACTTAACCATTAGAAGTCGAATCAGGCGGTACCACATAAGATTTAACAAAAGAACATCCCGGTGAAAGCCTTAAGCAACTGATACATCATCGTTAATCTTGCTGTGCTGCTATTTCCATAGCAACCATCAACTCAGAAACGCATGAACAGGAAATAACATCGAGAAGTATTCCGAGAATAGAAGGCGTTGAAACGAGACAACTCGTTCGTAGCATGGAAAGGGTGTTAAATGCACTGGAGACTCAACGCAACTCCATTTTCACTTTCGTAAACTCGCCGATGGTTTTGCGAAGCGGACAAACTGCATCCACACTCTAGCAAAAAAGTGAGGCGGTCGACCGACAGGGAATGTTTCGTGTGCAGAAACCAGGACAGCCAACACACGAACGATGACAGAAAGTGAGATGTCAAGAAACGTCGTGAAATTTAGTTTAGTGACTTTAGTTGTTGTTATAAAAAGTTTACGGTTCAGAAATGGGGACATAACCCAGTTAAGAAAGACGGGTTTAAAGATGTTCTGGGTTGTTACGCCGTATTGTCTGATAGAAGTTTACCGACGTTTCAGATGTCCTTGCAGCCTCCATCATCAGGGCGATGAGTGTGATCGCCCTGATGATGGCAGGCAGCAAGGACCTCTGAAACGATGGTGAACTTCTACAACCCAGAAGACTCAACCCCGTGAAAACCTCAAATCATACAAAGACAAGCTTACCGCATGATACAAGGAAAATCAATATTGACTTAACGCAGTGTGAGATCTGTAATGTGATTACGTCTGAAAGTCTAGATCTGTATTTGCAATAAATGTGACGTCGAAAGCAAAGAGCACGTTTGGAAAACGTGTACTCAATACCGGAGTTCAGATCTCTCGTGTCTGAACTGATGTCTTTGAGGCGATGAACGAAATAAGAAAAATCTCATCCGAATTCTGAATACGCGTGGCTTTCATCCTTCAACTTGTTGTTTTTTTCGTTTTTTTCCGTTTTTTTCGGGGTTTTTTTTTTTTTGCATGGAAAGTTGGAAAGTAGAAGCTATCGTAACACAGGTCAGACGAAAAAGTTGGTTCCCCTCGAAAGGAAGGCGATGGGCGCGCCTTCTGTATCTCATTGGCCGGAAAGGACTGTCTTTGTGACTCAGTGTTACGTAAACGTCACACTTTCACCTCGCCACTAAATTTAGCGGGGGGCGGCGCTTTCTACAGACGTTACGTGGCGTCTAATTGAACGATGTCTTAGGGCGATGAATGCAGTAGGATGTGGAAGTGGTCGTGGCTTGTTTTAAGGCACTATTCCGGCACTGGAGGTTCATTATTTATAGATACTCTTCACCAAAAGCTATTACGGTGATCGAATAATGCAGGGGTTCTCATCCTTTATTCGCTGGCGTACCACTAATTCTAATTTAACACATTAAATGTACCACTAACCAAATGTATTCAGGGAAAACTTATTTATGTTAATATTATATTTTGATTTTCTTACTTAGTTCGCGTACCACTCAACATTGGCTCGCGTACCATAGGTTGATAAACGCTTAAATAAAGGGTAATAATGTAGCAAGCGATGGGAAAGATTATAAATATAAAATGTAGGTCGGAAAACCTCTAGGGACGAGTTCACTTGAAAGCCTAGGAGAATATGAGAGGATAATATCAGGTAAGGTTATTTGATCTCCTGCCCAGAGATCCACAAGTCCAAGACCAGAATTTTAAAACACGAAACGAACGTACCAAACCCTAAACTGTGTCGTTGTGTACGATAACGTGCGAACTCCCTACATGACGTCTGTCTGTGTGTTGCAGGAACCCAACGTGGTGGCACCGGCGCAGTAGTATGGAGCGCAACATGACGATCCTAGCGGCCGTGGCCTGGTGTCTGGTCACTGCCCTAGTGATCATCCTCACCATCTTCATAATCATGCCGAGACAAGGTTAGTAGGTACAAGTTACGGATATCTGTATCTAATACACGAAACCCACACATCCCTAAAATCTGCCTTTGTGTTATGGACTCAACGAAACCCAGTGCGCGTTCACCTATCAACGGCCACATATAAAAAAATAGGGCAGTAACTTTAGTTAAGGATAATGAGTTGTTTTCCTAGCCACGAGGTTCTATTTGCACTCAATGCTGAGTATGTTGAGCAGGTTTGATAGACGTTAACGAATTTGAGAGTCACTCGGTTCAAATCTTGTACGTGGATGAGTTATTATGACTGGGGTATTCCGTGGTTTTCCTCGGTTCCTCCGTGATAGTAAATTAAAATAAAATAGGCCATGTCCGCTTCCTCTCTCTCTCATCTTCGCACATCAGGGGGGGGGGGGGGGGGGGGGGAATAGAGCCACCTTGAGGGAAAATTAAATGTTATTGGTTCATGAACATTGTTTACAAAAACTAAATGCTGAGATTTAGAGAGTAATTCATCACGAAGAAAACACAAGGAGAATTTCGTATTAATTTATGCTCTACGTACGACTTTTGACAAAATTTTTTTGAAAAAACACATTTGGCGAAATTCCCCCGATATACGGGGTAATTCTGCTACGTGTCTGGGGTAATACCAACCTATACCAATCCCATGAAGATAAATACAATGCTTTCAGTTAACAGATGCATTTGTTTATTCACGGTATTTTCTAAGGCACTTTTAAGTATTTTAAGGTATAAGTACAAAATATTACCACACGTAACTAGGAACTTGCATTTAGTTAAGATACGTACAGAGAAAAATATAAATGTGACAGCTCTAATAACATGGGGAAGTTATAGAATGTTTCCCAGATAAAATCAACTACAAAATCTGCTTAACAGATCATAAGCCGGGGCTGAAAGAAGACTTTATGTCATCACACAGCCTGGTACTGGGGAAATACCGCACAATAAAATACCATTAGCCCAGACATGATTAACATAACACATTATTTATTCCCGCCTGAACACAGTATGTTACAAGACTGCAGATTCAGAATAGACATGCATATTTGTACTTTCAAATGTTATCATTTGTTTTAAGAAAAAATAACACTAAGTTACACTTACCATGCAATCTGTTAACTTCAAAACTTAGAAGAGACGTGCCTACAATGAGATTTTTCTTCAACACAAACAAACGGCGACAACCACTACCGCCATAACAGCTCGAGACTGTTTCTACGCCGTCACCAGAGATGTCAGGGCGAACAGAGTGCGCTCAGTTCAAATCGTTTGAAAGACAACTGAATGACACGATTCCCCTATATCGTAACTTCTGTAGGTGATACAGTGTCGTGAAAGATCCGATAACACGGATGAGTTGCATCTCCAATCTCTAACTTACAGTTTTGTAAGGTATTTTCATAAACTACTTTTGAAGTAGAGTATGCTTATTCGTTACAAAATGAAATGTCCTTGAATAATGAAGCAGACGGAATATGTCTTTAACGTTGGGCCTTAAAGTGACACAGTTCCAGATACGAAAAAAAGTTTTTGTTTTTAAATACTGGTAGGCCTACCATATTGAATTTACAACAAACATTTTTAAACATATATATAGAATTATATCACATTTCAAACATGCTCGTTACATTGTACTACGCATTTTATAGCATATTATAACATGCATAAAACCAAACGTTTTCACAAGGAAATGCTTACTTTGCACAATATACCTACAAATGGTGTTCCATATCTTCTCCTATACAACGAGGAGGTCGTGTGTGTGTTTCTCCCGCCCTCATGTTCAGCCTTGGACACTAAGTATCGGTTTTCTATAACATTTGGTACTAAAAACGTCAATGCAAAACCACCAGCTCTAAAATCAACATCAAATCAAAGTGTCTACAATGAATTTGCCTGGGGGTGTGAAGAAAAACTCGATCAAAAACAGTCCGGCAGAGAATTTAACCTAGAATGTCCCGAATACGTTCTGTAGTTTAGTATTTGTCATACGATTAGGTTGGCAACAATAGGTTCATATATGCTCTCAACTTAAGCAGCGTTGTTAGTCCAGCACAGATTCTCAGATATGTCTATTTCACTGATATTACAGGAGTGTGGTCGATATATGGAACGGGAAAATATGCAGGCCTCTGCTATCTGTGAACAAAAACAATTGAACAGCGAATAACGCTGACACTGATGACCAACATAAATAACTACAAGGCAAAACAGATTTCAGCGCTTTATCGAGCCGCTGCGACACGAAACCTCGCCCTAGTGCATTTTAGTCCAGACCAGTTCTACCAACAGGTCTTACCATTAGGAACTACATGCCTGGATCATCGCATTTACTTCATATTTCACTGATCTAACAATAATGGGTGACGTCCTGAATAAATCACGAAGTTCCTCGTTGTGTTATATCGTAAGCTGCTCTCTTGGCTTCATCTCTTAGGTTCAAATATCTTCCCGAACACTTTGCTTTCTGTCACTTGTAATATGTGTCTGTTTCACATGCAAACAAGAGGACATGCAGACTTGCTGTTCTGTAGCGTTTAGAAAAGTAGGCCGATGTTTAAAGTTTTCACAACAACAACAATAATAATAATAATAATAATACACATTTCCATAATTTCTTCCTAACCTAACATCATCATAACGTCAATAAAGCTAATATGGCAAATTTAATTAAGAATTTAACCCGACAATTTCGTTTGTACCCTCTGGGTTAAACCCGAGCACCCCAGTCACGTGAACAGGAAGAGAGTTTTTGGTTCCTCCTCGTGCGTCCCTCGTGTTTGTTTGCTGCTCAGAATGGAACTAACTATTGGATCAGGCTTCACGTCTCCATCACATGGCCAAGGGGCCCGCGACCTTCAGGGCCGATTTAAACAAAATTTAGTCGACTGGCGGAAAGAGTCAATACATGCGGCCTTCAAATGTGTTTGCATTCCATCGCAATGCCTGGGTCTCACAACCAGTGAACCGCGGGTAGAGGAAGAACAATAGACCTGGATGTAGGACACAGCTATTTCTTAGTTATCGATGGGCTAGTCATATAGCAAGCATGTAAAACAACACATCCAAAGTTCAGTTGGAAAGTGGCTATGTTGGGCAAGAGTGCAGTCGTGGCCTGTTTCAAGACAAAATAATTCGTATGTGGAGAGACTGAGGAAAACCTTAAAGGCATTCAGATTAGCAAGTAATATGATCGATAATTTAACCGAGTTACCGCTGAAAACAAATGCTCAAACAATTTTGGTTGACATCTAAGCAGCTATAGTTTAACGGATAATATTAAAAAGGGTATAGTGTGTTTCTTAGTTTGTAGAACGACACTTTCATAACTGCATTAGTTACGGTGTGTATTACAAAATGGCAGGACAAAGACACTATCACGGTCTTTGCTTGGAGGGACCAAGGTAAACCATTAAAATATGGGCACATGGGCTCTTAGCCCCTTTACACTGTAAACTTAGCACAGCTGTAAACTCAACAGCAAAAGCAGTGGGCTAAGAACGAATAAACACGTCCATCCTTGTTTCTTTAACAGTTTCCACGCTATCAACAAATTCCTCGCTCAGAAACACTTTGGCTCCCAGCATCTTTGGTATTTTTCAAATAACAGTCAAAATATTATCATTCCTGCATTCTTATGTGGACTTACAGGTGGTTACAATAATTTTTCAGGAACCTGCTGCCTCCATTATTCTTGAAGAAGGAATCAACAGGTTCCTGCAAAATTAGACAACCATTTACAATTTTATATGGTGTTATAAACCAGAAGACTTAAATGTCAATTATCACTGCCATGAGAAACTCAAATCTGACATAACTGTTTGCAGATCTCATAAAGAAAAACTGTAACACACAAAGAAACCATTTATTTTCATATTTGAAACCAGAATGGGGAGTGTTTAGCATTAATTCTTATTTGGCATGTTAGCATTTGAGTTAGACTGCAAGGAACTAATGAGTGTCTCTCTCCCCTCTTTACCAGAAACCCTCCCCTCCTTGCCCGCTGCTCTTTCAGGTGCCAGTGGAAGACTCGCTGGAAGGAAACCTGTCTCCAACCACAGCGACATTTGCTTGACAGCGGGCTGTGTCCACACAGGTACGTGTCTTGCTCTTGGGCTTCAGGATTACCTCAGATTAAATCCCACATTTACGTAATGGGACGCAGCTGGATCTCAATGGCTTTCATCGCCATTTGATCCATGCAGCCAATTACTATGATCGTACCCTGGTGTCCTTGAAGTTGATGTCATAGCCTTCCTTGATACTGTGCTCAGCCACTGCATGCCTTAATTCTGAAGGTTTGTGACAATAGTGCGTTGTTGAAGCAAACTACTTTCTGGACTAGCTCTATCGACAGATTCCATCCCCCAAAATGTTGTGTTTTATTAAATCCGCGGCAATGGTTAATGTCTATAAAGTTGTTTGCTTCAACGCCGCATACTTCTCCAACTGGTAGAGGCAAAAACACTGTCTTGATACAGGATACAGTATGACCTTGAGGTCAAAGCGACCCTTCACTGATCTCAGCAAGTGCGTTTCTTTTGGCTGGGATGTGCACCATTCATAAGGTGAATCTCCCCACCAGTCTGCATATCTTGCCAGAGGTTGCATGAAGGGAATAATAGTCAATGTTGCCATTTTATTTCCCTGTGAGAATGTCATCTATTTGGGGTTGAACGCTTGGTGAATGACCTCTGCATTGTAGCCATTTTGTCTGAGAGCCTTCTTGAGGAGTCAGATTTCATCAATGAAGCTTTCAGAATCACAAATGACCTGTACTCTCTGGAGAAGTGTGCAAATAGCAACACATTTTTGTGATGGATGATGGTAGTCGCTGGCAAGCAGGTATTCTGTAAACTATATGTCCCATGGTTTCATCTGGGTTCTTTTTCACCAACGCACTAAGAAATGGTAGTGGCTTATTCTCTTCTGTCTCTATCAAAAACCTGATTCTTAGCTAGGAGCTTAGTAACAAATTGCTTAACAGGGCTGTGGCAGTGTACCTAGATGAAGTTGTAGCTCAAGAGTACCGCAAGTCGTTGAAGTGTGTGGTATGTTTTGCAGCCTCCAGCATCCTGAAAAACATAGATTCATCTGTAGAGCCATGCGATGACTTCTACAAATTTGCATGTGGCAAGTTTGTGAAGAACACGGTGATACCTGACGAGAAGTCTACAGTAAACTGTTTCAGCATGGTGACAGATAAACTGCAGGAGCAGCTACGTACTGTCATAGAGGAGCCCATTTCCCCACAGGACAAGAAGCCCTTCCGTCTCGTAAAGAATCTCTTCCGGGCATGCATGAACAAGAGTGAGTAATGCTTAAAACTGGACACACCAAGAAAACACGTTGATTTATATGACATTAGCTATGTATTTAAGCATCCCATACTGCCAAGAACATTACCACCACCATCAAAAAGGAATGATTAGGAAAACAATTCTGTTCTGGGAACACAGTTTCTGACCATGAAAGTTGTTGCAGCGAACATCGAGGGCCGTGGCCTCTCACCCCTGTTGACCATCCTGCGTGACCTGGGCGGTTGGCCCGTACTGGATGGTGATGCCTGGGATGCGAGCAAGTTCGAATGGCGTCAATCAGTCTACAATTTCAGGGCCATGGGATACAGTGTTGACTACTTCATGGACTTTTCAGTGTCCACTGATGCTAGAAACTCCTCTTATCGCTCCATCAACGTAAGTTGAAAAGAGAGTCAGATACAAGAACTGACATGTAGTACATGCTGTAGTGATTATTAAGTGTAGTCAATGCAGTCATATATCTTTAACTTGAATTTCAATGGCTGAACCCAATAAATAATCCACATTTGTGATTCTTTCCTTTAAGTGACATGTTTATTCCCAGTATCAACACTAGACAGAGATGAATAGTGAACTTCACTCTAGTTGTCATAAATCTTTCAAGGTGACATTTCATAAACAATTCACATAACGGTGTTTTATAACAAGAAAACTGCATCTTTGAAAGTTTTTGCAGTCCTGATACTGTTGTTGTACTCAATATATTTAGCCTAAGATGATTATGTTCACATAAAATAGTACCTTGTACATTTGTAAACCAGTAGTTTCTAACCTCAAATCTTACACAGTTTCTAATGTGTGGTATACCTAGACGAGAAAGCACACAGAGTCATCTCGAAGTACACATTATGACATGTTTTTAAACCATTGCTGTTAGCAACTACTCTGAAATAATAGTTTACAAATAAAATGTATCCAGAAGATGTCAGAATCTACAGCTATGACTTAACTAACTGAACACCGCTTACAGCTGGACCAAGCATCACTGGGCCTCAGCCGTGAATACCTGACCAAAGGCTTTGGTGAGAAACTGGTGGATGCATATTATAAATATCTGGTGGACATTGCGGTGACACTAGGGGCAGACAAGAACCTGGCCATAAAAGAGATTCATGAGAGCCTCGAGTTCGAGATGAAGCTGGCCAATGTGAGTGTCCTCATACTTCTGTAACCTGTCTACATCTACCTTTCTGACCTGTGCATATAACAGTAGAGGATTTACATAATAGAACAGATAAATGATTAAGTTATTCATCTGATGATGGAAGCAGAGCCAGTTTCTGAAACATGTCGATTTTTAAACTAAGATGAAGAAAAACTGTCCAAGAATATGCACCAGTTTAAACAAATGTTTTTCTTAAACCTGTTAGTCATCTAGTTTGGTTATTATAATAATAAAAATTGATATTGTAACGTTTTCAGCTGTCACTGCCAAACGAGGAGCGCCGTAACGTGACAAAGCTATACAATGCCATGACAGTCCGTGAGATGGAGATCAGGTTTCCCACAATCCCATGGCTGACCTACTTCAACAGAATCTTGCCAGAACATATGCACATCAGTGAAGATGAGGTTATCATTGTGGCAGTGCCTAATTTCATCAAGGGGTTGGAGAAGCTTCTGCAGCAGACTCCCAAGAGGTGCGTGGTCCTGGGATAAATGGTCACTGATTATGAGCCAGATTAGTGCAAAAACTGAGTGGCTCTCTATCTTGCAGGGTTCTCGCAAACTATGTGATGAGCCGTTTATCAGGAGCCAGCGTCAACTATCTAAATGAGGAGCTGCGGAAACGACAGTTGAAATTTTCCACGGCACTTTCAGGAAAGACAGAGCGAGAGGCACGATGGAAGGAGTGCATTGACATCGTCAGCGGAGGGTGAGTGACTCAGTCATTAGGCTCTAGTTAATAGAACATCAGTGCAAGGAAGGCTGTTCCTGTCACATGACATGAAGGTGCTTGGGGAGAGTTGAGGAGGTATAGGTCCTACCCATTCTTGACCTTGACAGTGAATGGGGGTGGATGGTCAGCTTCATATCTTGGCCGCACTTACCCCTTTGGAAATCACCCCCGGTATGCATTGGATAGGAAGCACAGTGGATCTCAGGGCTTATCTGGACACAGAGGATAAAAGAAAAATCCTTTACCTCGGCTGGAGATTAAACTCCAGACATTCAGTCTGTAGTCAGCCACTATATTGATTGAGCTACCCCAGTTCCTCAAGAAGTACCTGTACCATGGAGTTGGTTCATTTTTCCTGAAACCCACATTATTCCAGGTTTACATGCTGAAATTTGTCATTTCGCTTGTAACTTGCACTCACAGATTCCTTCCAATACTTCCTGCCCCATAACGATAATGTTGATGATGATGGTGATGATCTATGTTCCAGCTTGTCCATCTCTGTGGGATCACTCTATGTGCGCAAATTCTTCAAGGAGGAAGCCAAGACCAAGGCCATGGAAATGGTGGAAGATATCCGCAAGGAGTTCATTCATATTCTCATGAATGTGGACTGGATGGATGAGAAAACCAAGTAAGTATGCAGAAACAAAAGAAAATTATGTATAAATTACAATGTGAAATCCATTAGGCACATTTGTACAATAAAGGTAAAGCATAAAAAATGCAGAAAACTAGAAGAAAAATAATCAAAATATTTTGTCTTCCTTTTCCTACCTAGAAATATACAAAACTATAATTTTATCTGCTGCTTTTTATGGGTGTCAAACATGATATCTTACCCCAAAAGAAGAACATAAATTCAGGGAGTTTGAGAAGAGGTTCTGTGAAGATTATTTGGACCAAAGAATGCTTTTCTTTCTTCACCAAATATTGAATTCAGTATATATTTATTTATTATTTCAGTCTATACACAAACTTAATTTTTAAAATGTTGTTGTTAAAATTAAAATTTAGCGCTTTTCATCGTTTTAAATTTTAAATTTTAATTTTAACAACAACATTTTAAAAATTAAGTTTGTGTATAGACTGAAATAATAAATAAATATATACTGAATTTCAACACAAACATGACGCATCTAAACTACAAATATTGAATTATTATTGTGATCAAATCAAGGGGGATAAGATGGATGGGAAATGTATTGTGCACAAGAGCTAAGCAATGATAGTTGGAAAATGAAGGAAAGAGACAACTTGGAATACCTAAGCACAAATGGAAGGAAAATATTAAAATGGATCTTAAGGAGACTGGCTAGCTAAGCGTACTATCAGTTTTCAAAGACTTGCTCCATGGAGTTATTTAGCTAATATTATTTGGTGAAGAGCACAAAAAACGAAGTTCCTCATTATGCAGTTTTCTCCATTAAAAAAATAATCTGAAAAATTCACCCTTATATGTAATATGGAGCAGGATATGAGGAATATTCGCAGATAAGCCATCTGGTAGAAAATTTGAGAAAAGTGCCCCCACACACGGTGAGGGACATTTGAGAGATTTGGTTGTGTTGACATGAGATTACAGATTTTAATACACAAGATGAAATCTTTTATTTCTGAGAACTATCAACAGTCACATGTTTTAATGGCAACTTTATTTATTTCAACAGGCAGAAGGGGCTGGAAAAAGCAAAAGCAATGTCCGTCCACATCGCTTACCCTGACGAACTGCTTGACGATGAGAAACTGGAGGGCTTCTATGAGAAGGTACCTGACCTCATGAGCTGAAAGTGCTACTTGTATTGGCAGAATGGGTTGAAGCACACACTTATCTTTGAAGAGGGAAACATTTGAAAACAAGTGCTTCAGAAAGCATGTGGAATTAATACGAGTAACAAGTAACTTCCTATTTACACTCTCATCTTGTCACTGAGAGGAGGTGACGATGAAGTGGACGTGCCTTAGATGGGAGATAAAAGAAATACATGTAACACTTTTCTGAGGAAACTTTTTGTAAAAGATTGCTTTTAAGAGCAAGATAAACACAGATGGAAAAAAAACTGTAATGGAAGAGTGGGAAATAAGTTATGATGAAGCAGATCTTGTTTACCTGTCCCAAAATACAGCCCAATTCCAGGTTTTTATGGTACAAGCACTTGATCATTGGTTTGTAACAACAGTACGTCAACTTCGAAAAGTGAAAGGGAATTCTTTAACTTCATAATAAGACTTATGGAATAAAAACAGCATTTAACGTACTTAACAGAAATGTATGATGTACTGAATTAGTGTCAAAATTTGACAGAGATCTAAAGTTTACAGCTTAGATTTCAATCACCTATCTTTATTTAAAATTAAATTGCCTTGTGGGATGAAATTTTCTGATGTGTGAGATGTGAACGCCACATGATAAAAGTAAAATGCACATCGAATTCTAGCGGGGAAAATGCCAGGAAAAAGCAGCAACCTCGAGATGAAATGGTAATATTAAGATGGACATTAGGTAAATGGACTATAAGGTTGGGAGTTGAATGAAATCAGCTGAGGATCAATATTAATCTTATGGAACTTTTGGGTTCTACTACAAGATAGTTGTGATCTTTAGTGTCCATATTTTGTAAGACCACATTTCTTTCATTTCATTGCAGCCTGAGCTTGGTTCTGTAAGTAGCCATATTAGTTTAATTAGTCTACCAAATAAATTAAGGATTTCAATTAATTATAAGCAACCCATAATGAGCTCAGTCTAGTATCCAAAACACCTATGTTTAATGTTGGTCTAGGATAGAATTCTGATTCAGGGGTCAGGTTTTGAGACCTGCTGGATCTATTGGGAGTTTTCTTATCATTTTCCCTCATCTTTGGCAATTCCAAGCTCCAGCATAGTTCTGTGCCCAAATTAAGCTGTAGCTCCCCTCCGCTGGACATCAACTTATTACTGGGAGTCTGCCTCACAGGCTTTCCCATCTTACTCCTTCAGTTCAGTAGAGTAAACCTTCCTTGAATCAGTTTAATGGCAACTCTAAATTTTTGTCGAACTGGATGACAACAACAACTAGTAGCCTAAATGGAAAATGAAAGTCAGTGGTCTACAAGCAATGAGAAACTGTTTGCGTAAGTGTCATGACAGTATTATTTAAAAACTGTTCTAGATAACTCAAATTTCAAATTGTAAATTAATTGACTCACTGTTCTAGATAACTCAAATTTCAAATCTCAAATTGTTAATTTAGTTGACTGTTTTTCTCTAAACACATAGATGCTGTAACCTGATTTGAGATACCTGATAAATGTAGTGATTAAGAGATTTATTTAATAGTGAATTTAATGACACTGTACCAACTGTTCAGATTACATAGTTCTGGATATGATAGAAATAAAACAGTGATGTGATCACTGTCACACAGTTCTTATCACCATTAGATATAATTATTTAAAATACAGTGAATGTGATATGGAGGCACAACGTTTTCAGTTTTTAAAGGGTTAAACAAAACAAATGTGTTTGGCCCATAGCTTGAGGTGGATCCAGACCTTTATCTGGAAAGCATTCTCAATGTCACCAAGTTTGGAATGAACTATTCATTTGGACGGCTTCACACCAAGGTCAACAAGACTGAATGGATCACCCATGGACGTCCAGCCATTGTCAATGCATTCTACAGTTCAATTGAAAACAGCATCCGTAAGTAGAGCCACAGAATATCACTGATCTGGACCACATAAAAGCAAGACAACAGTGTCTACACAATGTTCTGTTTCTATTCCAGAATTTCCTGCTGGCATCCTGCAAGGAGCATTTTTCAACAGTGAACGGCCACGTTACATGAATTACGGAGCCATTGGATTTGTTATTGGCCATGAGATAACACACGGCTTTGATGATCAGGTATGGAAAACTGCACTACTGTTAACAAAGATCACCCTTTTGCTTTCTTGTACCACACAATTTCATTGAAAACAATTCAACTGTCCAGTATAAAATTTAAGGTAATTGAGAGCAATGTGCTAGGATGTAAGACGGAGCAAGTTAACAGGAGGATATATACAATTACATATAATGATTAGGGTTCATGATTTGTACATCGAAACAATGTGACAAACTATTTGGTAAACAGGAGACAAATAAATAAATAAACAACTTAGCTCAATATTGTAAAATGGAATTGTGTTTCACACTGGCCGTGAATGCCTAATGTAAAGAAACAATTCTAACCATGCAGAGAAGTGATCATCATCTCTCAGTTCTGATATTGGACCCAGCATGGCTGAAATAGCTACAGCATCCTTTAACTGTTCCTGTGTTTAGAACATAATTGGATCCTGCTGTTCCAGAGGCAAGAAGTTAGACTGTGGTTCTGTTCTTACCATGGGCTACAAAACCAGCTTTTCACAAAAAATGCTAAATATGTACCATCCATAAACAGTGTGATTGCCTGCATATAAACATAAATGGTATGTTTAGATGCATTGATCTTACTGTTCTGTACAAAACAAAACACTGACATAAAAAGAATATAACTTTCTCACAGGGACGACAATTTGACAAGGATGGAAACTTAGTGGAGTGGTGGGAGCCAGACACTAAGAAGAAATATCTGCAGAAGGCAACATGCATTATAGAGCAATATGGGAATTACACGGAAGAGGAGACAGGAATGCACGTGAGTTGTTCCACCATCGTAGAGTACAATATATAAACAATATACAAGAAATATCAGGAACTCATTCTACTGTACGTCAAATGTTTCTATCTGTATAAAGAGGATAATAAGAAAGATAAAATTTCACAATTTAGTGACCTGTTTCTATACATATTTCCATGAGTAAACTTTCTTGCTATATTAAAGTTGTCAAGATATAATTTAAAATTTTTGAATCTCACAAATTTGTTCACCTGCTTCTCTGATTATCATGTGATATCTGAACTTGAAATTGTTTTAAAAATATTAATGTGAGTCAATTCAGGATATTTTTGTCCTACTATTACTAAACCACGTTAATTCGAGTTGTGGGAAAAATACGTTTATCAGAATCTAGACACTGGTAAATGATAAACCACATGCATTTATATATTTCTTTTGCTAAATATTACTAAACCACGTTAATTCGAGTTGTAGGAAAAATACGTTTATCAGAATGTAGACACTGGTAAATGATAAACCATATGCATTTATATTTTTTTTTTGCTTAACTGGACACAAATAGGACTTCTATGCTTCTGTAGCAAATGTCACGAAGCTCCCGTGCTAGCTACAGTGACTGTGAAAAAGTTGATTTTTACAAACAATAAAAAGTGATCTCAAGATAACGCAGGATAATAACCATTACAGTTACATAAGCACAATTTTGTTCAGCATGATTAAATATTTTGCATCAAAACACACATGAATTTAATTCTTGTGGGTATATTGTAAATGTAAAATAAAAAATATGACTTTGTTTCATATTTTCTGAAAAAACAATCAGGGAAGCATGACTTTGTTTCATATTTTCTGAAAAAAAAAATCAGGGAAGCGGTTAAAATATGTCCATTAAAAGCACCACTGATCTAGGTAACAAATTCACAGACATTATTTCCCTATATCAATAACACTTGCTATCCAAAACCCCTTAACCATTGTTAATATCTTCCAATTTTTGCTATATTTGCACACAGCTGAACGGAATCAACACTCAGGGTGAGAACATTGCTGACAATGGAGGAATCAAGGAGGCATACTATGCGTACCTGAGGTGGACTGAACGTAATCATGTGGAGCCTCGCCTACCAGGTCTCAATTACTCGCCACGCCAGATGTTCTGGCTGTCTGCAGCACAGACTTGGTGCACCAAGTATCGAATCCAGGCTATGCGCCAGCGCATCACCACTGGTGTGCATTCTCTTGGACAGTTCCGTGTCCTAGGACCCCTCTCAAATATGCGGGAGTTTTCTGAAGATTTCAATTGCCCTCTTGGTTCACCTATGAACCCTGTTCACAAGTGTCAAGTGTGGTGAGCTCCTTAGTGTCTATCCCCAAAACTATAAAGATGTGAATGGTGAAAATCACAAGTGTCGTGCACTGCATAGCAAGGGGTGTAATCCTCCTCACATACCCCTGACAAACTTGTTCCTTACTGATGGGGAAATTGTGAGCTGTTGGACAAATAAGTGGAACTGTGAACGGCCACTTGCGGAAGTCAATGTACCAGTACTTAATGCCTTTGCAAGAAAGTTTTTTTATAATAAATAATTTAATTTAATGAACTCGTAATGCTGCAGTACCTCCGTCTGCATTGTGGGCCTTTCCTTCTTAATGCTTCTTACTAATATTGCTAAGTTCCTTTCCACACGTAGAGTGATGCTCTTAAAGGGTTCCAAAGGATTTTAAATCTTCAGGTGGCTGTGTGTACATGTTTCCTACACAGGCTTCTGAAAACTCTTGGCAGGGTGGATACAAAAATTTGTTCTACACAGTTCCCAGTTTAAACACACAGTCATGAAGGTTAGAACATACTTACCTACCATTACATTGCAACACCTAAACATATGATTGTCACACTGCACATATGTGAAAACCTCCATCAACATTAGCAACTTTTAATGTTCATTTCTGCTACTAGAACATACCACAAACCTGACGCTACTGAAATTATGTCATCTCAGCATGTTTATTATTCAGGAAATCATAAATATGTATAAATAAACGTTCCAATTACTTGGGTCTCAACATACTATGCATCGCAAAGATAATTTTATTGTTGCAAGCAAGAGCTCTCTAAAATACATCACAGGTAGTTCCGGACACAACAGAAGAATCAATCTTTGCCTCTGCCATAAGGATCCTGGGCATCCAGCCAGTATTAAGAAATTTTAATGACTGAGCCAACACAGATACATATACAATTGTATGTTTTTCATAATCTTATTAAGGTAATTATCTTCTTTTTAACAAATTTACAGACTATTGCTATGACAAAAAGAAATCGGTAGTAATCTTTTGGAGCCCCAAGATGCACTTTGCTACACGGGAATGTCAGTTATGATATCTGTCGGCCTTCCTGCCCCATGACTCTGAAATGTCATGAACAGATAACACAAAGCACTTTTTAAGACTGTACACCTAACACAAACATTTTAAATAATGTTTTTTTTTGTAGCAGTGTAAAGTTGATTTTTTGTAGAAATAAATTTATTACATCCAAGATCAGGCCTGGTTTTATCAGACAGCCTCACGTCATAAGTCATGTCAACCAAATTCCAAGAAAATTAAACTTGTAGTTGTAAGACTGAACACTTTAGAGCTAGTAGCAATGGCACGTTAGCTAATACGGCGAGATGTGCGGAGTAACGCGCTCGCTATTTTTAGCTCAGCTTTCCGACTGGATAACACGTTCATCGCCGGTCACCAGGCCCGGCTCAATGAGAGTTGAAGTTCCCGGAGTTCAGTTTAATTTCAACCGTTTCTTTCACGAGGCGGTCCATATAACCTGCAGCAATTGGCTGATGGAGCAGCTGTACTGATCAGTCTCAAGAAAATTACACTGTAGAAGAAGGCATTTAAGCACAAATAATCAGGACTGTGATGTATGAAGCATCTGAAATTAATTCATGAGGTAATCAATTGAGACCGTAACAAAGTGAAATAAACCCAACTTGTGTCAAGAACCCACTGTGTATTCACCAATCACATTACAATATTAAAATGAATCTGAGAGAATTATGATGTGAGGATGTGGAGTGGATTTAACTCTCACAACTGGGTCCAATGGTCAGCATTTCTAAACAGGTTGATGAAACTTAGAATTTCCATAAAAACAGGAAATTTTTTAAGCAGCTGAGGAAGTATCAAACTTTCAAGGCAGAACCTTTACATGAAGATAATTACTGGACTCTCTCACAAGTGTTAGGAAACTGAAGGCACGATGCAAAATTACATGAAATATGTAAAATCAATATGTTTATGGTCACCCTACATAACTAGGAATTTCAACTACACAGACTCCCAAACACAGCCTTCTATAGTGTAAAGTAATGCGGATATAACAGCGGGCAAAATCACCATCTGACGGAGATCTTGCCTCAAGAAGGAACAAACACCAACATATTCATTCACTTAATTTTATATTGATAACCATTATTGCCATGTTGTCATTCAAAGGCAGTACAAATAAAAAAAAATCCATAAGACCCGTTGACTACAATAACAGAGCAGCCATTATGAAACATCTACAGACTTTTATTAACAATAATAAATAAAAAAGTAATAAACTTGTAACAATGTGGATCAGCCAGGTTCACTTACTACCATACAACGTTCTTATCAGAAGGCTGGCTTCAAAGGCAACAAACAGGATAAGAATAACACAAACCTCTGAGTAGGAAGCATCAATCTTGATTCTTCCGTTTCTTCATTTCAGTCGCAAATCACGCTAGTCAGTTCACTGCATTTACTGCCTGCATATCCTCATTTTTCAACAAAATAAAGACACATCCCCTACTTATAAAACAATCTGCAGGATTTTCGTGACATGAAGGTTAGATCTCCGGACTTAAGATAGATGCAGCAGCTTTTTGTCGCCGTAGTAAAATTTCATGTTTCCTGTTATGTTCAGAACAGGAAAGTGCTTGATATAGAGATAATAGGGGTATCTTTCAGCTGGTTAGAGAACGTTTTCGCTTACTAAGGAATGGTGGCAACATTGATGTGATATATGCATAGCTGAGTCAATTCAACATGACAGCCACCTGTTAGAGGGAAATGTACTAGCATGTTTTGTTCCACAAAACTGAGTATTCACGGAATCTTTCATATTTTTATACTTCTGTGCTGATTAAATGTCAAAATTAAGTTTCTTTGTTTATCCTTTTGGTAGTATTACTGAATCTGCTGTACACTTGTTACCTTATATGTACCTACGGACACAAAGTAATGTTGCACGTAGCGACATCACTCGGCACATAATTTATTTTTCCACACGAGATTCTGTTTTGGAAGATGTTAAAAATACGTGCTTATAAAAACACTTTTGATGTTTCTTCTTTATACTACTAAAAAGTCGTCAACTTCTAAGGCTTCTTAGTTACTACCGCAGTAAAATGGGGCATAGGAAGACTAGAAAGACGAGACCAACTCCTAAAAAAATCATGCAGGCTACAGTACAGAGGTCTTCAAAAACAAGTGTTCTATATGATCATCAGCTGATAATTATGGTGTTGCTACATCTCCTACTGCCCATTATATGGATAAAAACTGACAGCGCAACATTTATGTATGATCAAAAGTTCAACCATCATAACATTTTTACATCTGTGGAGGTAAAGGAAATGTCAATCACCTACTAACATCTGCAAAACTTCACAATGAACTCACTACAGTATAAATGTGTAAATTACGTTACCAGTTCACGAAATTGAACAAGAAATCTGGTGAGATTTCAGGTTCTCATGGTGGCACGTAAGAAGGTCTGGGATCTTGTGCCATGTAGTCTGGTAGAAATTTAATGACATTTCATACTACACAGTAACATTCCACAAGACAGTTATCTTAAAGACATTTGTTCCACAATGGGAGGAAACATCTTAAGGGCTCATCGGCATGTTGGTCTAGAAATAATGCAGAAAAGACAAGGTATCTGATCGTGTCTCGGCATCAGAATTCAGAACCAGAATATAAGGACAGCTAATGATTCTTTTGATAAAATGACAAAATTCAAGTACTTGGGGATGACACTAACAAGTCAGAAAGACACTCATGACAAAATCAAGAGCAAATTAAATTCAGGGAATGCTTGTTATCATTTGGTCCAAAATCCTTTGTCCTGTCTCATATAAGAAAAACTAAAGATTAAAATATACAAGAGTGTAATTTTGTCAGTTGTGTTGTATGGGTTCAAAACTTGGTCTCTCACCTTGAGAGAGGAACATAGACTGGGTGTCTTTGAGAACAGAGGATCGAGGAAGACGGATCACGGAGAAAATCGCATAATTACAAGCTTCATGGCCTGTACTCCTCACCTGATATCGTTAGGGTGATTAAATTGATGAGGATAAGGTGGGCAGGACACACGCGGCAAGCATAAAGGAGGGGAGGCCTGAAGGGAGGAGACTGCTGGGAATACCTAGGCATAGATGGGAGGATAACGTTAAGATGGACCTTGGGGAGATAGGAGTCGATGGAGTGAACTGGATGCAGCTAGCTCAGGATAGAGTCGGGTGGTGGGGATTTTGTCAACACAGTGATGAACCTTTGGGTTCTGTAAAGAAAGTGGGCCATTCTTTTACAAGCCAAGTATATAATCGACTTTTCAGAGGATTTCCTGCACCATAGAGTGAGTTAATAAGAGGAAAATTAAATTGCATGACAATACTCGTTGCATTTGTTCCACAAGTGCAATGCAGAATTAGCACTGCACAAGCCACAGCCTAGTACATTGTTCAGAACCATAGTTGTAAAATTTTTCAATAATAACCAGTCTGTTTTAAAGAGGCAAAATTTTCAATCTCACTAAGTACGAAACACTGATGAAAGCAGTACATATACCACATTAAGTATTTGTACAGAAAGACAACAAACAGGTAGGTGGGATGTCTGCAGAACGAGGAAAGAATATTACCGATTGCTGGTATCTGCAGAATTGGCACGTGTCCCAAATTTGTCATTTCTTGTGTAAGTTTGAAGACACACATGTTGAATGGGACACCTCCAGGATCAACTGGAGCTACAAATCCAAATGGGTGGTCAACTGAAAGTATTTTTTTACAGTTCTTTAACCATTTCATTGCAAACACAAAGCCCACTTAAGAGGAGAAACATATTACGTTGTTTGACAACCATGAAAGCCACGTTTCTATTGCACTCATAAGTAAGGCTAGAGGCAGGGGTTCTCCTGCTTATGATCTCATCACACACGAGTCATGAACTCCAGACTCTCGACCAGGCAGTTTTTAAAACATTTACAGTTCCCTATGACAAAGCAATGTATGACTGGATGAACTCTTCAGGAAATGCGGGTAAGCCCGTGACATTGCCGAACTGGTTGGGAAGGCGTTTTAATGTGCAAAAATATCACAAGTGACTTTAAAGTTACAGAAACTGTTCCTCTAAAAAGCACTGTTTTTTTGATTATATAGATTTTCTTGCATCCAATATTACTGACAGTGATACATAGTTGACGTCACTAGTCACCATCTCGTTATTTGGAGCAACAATAATGAAAATTATAGTGCAGGTTACCAGTTCTACTTCACATTTGAAGGCCTTGTGTTGAGAACAGGAAATGACTGTCTGAACTGACTCAGTTCCCCCAGCAAATGATGAGGTAATACCTTAAAGTACGATAAGAACACTTCCATCCTAATTTGTAATTCACTATCAACTTGCTGAATGACACTATACAGCCTACACAGTTGATAACATTCAGTTAAACAAAACATAGGAGTGAACTGAATGTTGCGTCACGGGCAATAATACCTCAGAAGTGGGTTGCTTTTCCCTTGTCCAGAAGGGGAGGACAGTCAAAGACAACAAAGTTGAACATTTCCTCACTTCAGTCTTTTACTACAAATTCCTATTAAAATCACACAGAATTTTATTTTTCCCTTAGGCAGCATATGACACTATGAACTGTATAGCTGGGATTAAACATGGCAAGAGCACTAGTAACATTGTTTCATGACATATGGAATGATCTATGGTGGACCCGTGATGGGTGTTATTCCCCAGTAAGAGGGACAGTAGGAGCATTCCATTCAATGGTCACTACATTCGTTTACTTAACCCCTTGACTCACATGACTCGTCACTGCTTGAGAAAGGCTTACAGGCAGTAGATGCACACCACAGTACGACAACTAACACTTTACTCACAACTCCCTAGCTTTTTCCTTCCACAGATTCAGTCTTCTGCTCTCCTGGTTTCTCAAACACAGGAATGTAAAATGCGTCTTTGCC